TGTTTAGAAATGCAACCATACTTATATATATTTTCATGGTTCACTGAAATCTTTTTACATGAAGTGTCAAAAGAAAATGAAACAACACCCTACATACAGATAAAATGTGTTCAATCAGCCTGTTTAAACATATAAATTATTGTGTACTGTACTCACCAGTGAATGCTGAACTCTCTCTCTCTCTTTCTCTTTCTCTTACTGTGACTCGACTAACCTTAAGTTATACCTGAGGAATGTGAAGCTGTAACATTTCCAGTTATGCTCCACCTCTTACTGCAAGTCAACTGCTATTGTTTTTCTTTCATTCCCCTTCCTGGTTATAGAGGCCTACATTTTCCTTTCACATTGTTGACATAAAATGTATTAAGATTAAAAAAGAAAAACAAGATGGTTGGTCCTTTACTGTCATAATTCTCTTACTTTGGAAATGGAGTACAAGAGAAACAAAGAAAACATGACAGCATTTTTGTGTCAGTCCCACCTCCTCCTCCGATCTCTCTCCCTCCTCTCCTCTCTCGTCTTGCTCTTCCTGTGAGTCGTCTCAGTCTCTCCTCTCTTTCTCTTGCTCTCTCTCTCTCGTACTGCGTCCTCCTCTCTCTCCTATTTGTTCTCCCTCTCCCCTCTCCTTTTCTCAATTCAATGTTCAGTCCCAAGGGCTTTTATTGGCATAGGAAAACCAAAGCAAGTAAGGAAAGAAAAAAAAAAAACATTTACATAAACATATAACACATATATAATCACATATAATCTGATATTTCTTCTGTTTGTCCCGTAATTGTGTCTATGTACAGAGATCAGCACAAGACAAATGGTCAATGCAGAAATACACAGTCTACAGGCTCGGCTCTTGCTACACACCTGCCAGTCAGACTTGTTTGTCTGTCATCAAGTGCTAGATCATTGTGACATACCTAGTTTGCTATGTGTCATGCTTCCAGCTCAGTTAACTTAAAATGTATTACCAGTTATTGACACCTGTTTTTCACTGTCTCACAGGATCCACTGCCTGCCTGGCCAGCCAACTAAGCCTGCCAGCCAGCTTGCCCTTTTGGATTTCACCCCAGGATATCCCCATACCTCAGCCTCTTAGACATAGCTAATATTTCATGCACTACAAACCAGCTGAACCCCCCAAAAAGTCTCTTTTGTCAGTTGGTCCTGATATTTTCTGATCACATAATCCAACAATGTCAAATCTCAGACCAGAACTGCTTTCCATCCATTAATCAGCTTGAACCAATTTATTAAATTAACAAAACATTCTTAGCTGGAACACTGTACGAATCAAACCAAACAAAATTAATTGTTATCTGCCCCTAGAAGAGGATCTCTTTACTGTCAGAGATATGAAGCAGAGGTAGATCCTGACCAAATAGTGACCACAGTGTAGACATAGAGAAAGGTCAACAAAAAGTCCTGGCTACCAACAGAGGAAAGACTGTCACTGCATGACAGCTGCTGTTGAGACAGATACACTTCCTCTTAAAATGTGAATAAAACAATAATATCAAGTTGGAACAATTTATCAATTAGATTTGCTGATTTTAAACCTTCCTTAACCTTTCAACAGTTAAATGACAGTGAAAAACTACAGATTCTGTTTCAATGATGGAGTCTTGGCACTAGTGGTGGTGGTAAAGGAATGAAGAAAATGCTGAAGATCTGGATGTGATGAGGAGTGGACTTATGATGAGCTCAACCTGGGCACTGGATATGATGAACTGGAGGTGAATAGGGTGGAGGAGGGTTGCAATGATTTCACACTGAAATAACAGCTGAAGACAGCAGAGAGGAGAACAGATTTAAAGTTTGATGGCAGCAACGTGATCGGATGGAGGAGATTGCGGCTATATTTGATAGGATGAACTGAATTATTGTGAATTGATGAGGTTTAATGAGATGGTCTTCCTGCTTACACTTACACTGAGCTTCATTTGGAGAGCTACATGCATATGTCACAAACTGAGGGGCAAGTCATGAAAACACAATTACTGAATGTGACTAATTAGAATCTTGATCCTATAGAACACACAATCCCAAATGCAAACCCCCCCCCCACACACACACATACAAATGTTTACAGTCTTCTACCGTCTTCTTGTTCTTTTTATATATCTGTTTTATTACACATTATTTTATTTTTTCATCTTACTAATGCTTTGACAATATTCTTTTCTGACATTCACTCCAATAAAGCTCATGAAAGAAACCTTGTGGAGGAAGTGACTGTAGGCTCCTGTGGGTTGAGGTCTTTCAGTTGAGGTTCAGGCTGCAGGTTTCTGCCACAAAAATCAGGTGAAAGCAGTGGTGGAAGGTTGATAGTACAAACTGTGGGTGGAGTCAACAGATGGAAAATGCAGTTGCAGCTTCTGGATGAGGCTGTAATTAGAGGTTCAGTCAACAGCAATCTGTCCGAATCTGAACGTGGAGGTTCAGGATGCAGGTTGCTGAAAAAGGCTGTGGGTGGAGATCTGCACTGCCGCTTCCTGCCACAGACTGCAGATGCAGATAGCAGCTACAGGTTGCTGGTGGAGACTGTGGGTGGATTTCTCCAGTTATCTGGCAGACTCTACAGATAGAAAATGTAGCTGTAGCTTCTGGCAGAAACTGTAGGTGAAGATACAGGATGCAGGTTGCTAGAAGAGGCTGTGGGTGCACTACATTCTTCTGCCACTATTTGCATGTGCAGATGGAGGCTGCTGCTTGCTGGCATAGGCTGAAGGTGGAGGTTCAGGCTGCAGGTTGCTGGCAGAACCTTCTTTTGAGATCACTGGCACCAGGTTGCTGGTAGAGACTGTAGGTGGAGTTCTGGCTTGCCAAAATCTACAGTTACAAAATGTAGCTGAAGCTTTAGTCCACAGCTGTATGTCAGAATCTGCAGGAGGATGTTCAAAATACAGGTTGTTGGGAGAAGCTGTTGGTAGAGGTTCAGATTGCAGCTATCTGCCATAGTCTGTAGGCTGAAACAGAGGGTGCAGCTTGCTGGTACAGACTGTGGGTGGAAACGATAGATGGAAAATTAAGGAGGAGGTTCAGAATGCAGGTTGCTGGGGAAAGCTGGGGGTGGAGGTCTGCACTGCAGCTTTCTGCCACCACCTGCAGGCAGAAACAGAGGCTGCAGCTTGCTGGCAGAGGCTGTGTGTGGAGGTTCAGAATGCAGAATGAAGAGACTGTGGGCAGAGGAGTGTACTGCCGCTTGCTGCCACTATCTGCAGGTGCAGGAGGAGGCTGCAGCTTTCTGGTAGAGACTGTGGGTGGAGGTCGAGGATGCAGGTTGGTGGCAGAACCTTCAGGTGAGATCATTAGCACCAAGTTGCTGGCAGAGGCTGCGGGTGGAGGTCTGCGTTGCAGCTTTCTGCCACAGTCTGCAGGTGCAGGTAGCAGCTGCTGGTAGAGACTGTCGGGGGAGGTCTGCGCTGTAACTTCTGCCACTATCTGCAGGTGGAAAAAGAGACTGAAACTTACTGGCAGAGGCTGTAGGTGGAGGTACTGGCCACAGCTTTCTGGTGTTGGAAGAAGCTGGAAGTGGAGGTTCAGGCTCCAGATTTCTGTCAGACCCTTCAGTTAGAATGATCCTTCATTCCTTCAGTACACGAAACATATCATATGACAACAAGGTCAGGTAATACAGAGGGACACATCTTAAACCCCTTATCGTGTCAGCTATTAAATTATCACAAAGCATTATGTTGCCAAATACTCTGCAGAAATATAATGTCACATATCTGCTGTGAAATATTTACTAAGTTCAAGTCCTTCAGAGTTGTACTAAGGGCTACACTTGAACTCACAATATCACAGGTAGCTTGCTGATATACTTTTATGTATCTATATAAAATGTGACATTATTGACAGTAAGGCTGTGTGATTTAAATTCTTTGATGCACATTTTTGGTCTTTTTTATGAATAGACAAATGTATCATTACAATAAAAAATCATCTTCTACTACATTGTTTATTGAATTGTTTATTTATCTGGATTTCTACTTCAGTATACACACAGTGGCCTTTTATTAGGTACACTTGTAAAATCTAACACATTCCAAAGCGATAGCCATATCATAAAATATATCTATAATTATGAAGTTCAGTTTTTTGTGAAAATTGTAGGAAATTCATTCATATTGTATTGCGATATTTTGTTTCGTGATATTGTATCAATTCTCAAAAACACTTTTGATTTTGTGATTGAATCCCTAACTGCTAGCATCAAAACCATTACTCTGACCTCAATGCTAAAACATTGCTGAATGAACTCCTTGAACTACAAGCTTCATTAAAGTATACAGAATGGCAGAATAGTTGTATTGGATTGCATTACACTGTAGATTAGATTAGATTAGATTAGACAGATACTTTATTCATCCCCAAGGGGAATTCACAAGTTTCAGCAAGTATCACAAACTGATAATAATAATAATAATAATAACAACAACAACAGGATGTTCTTAGAAGAACTAATAAAATAAAGTAGCTAAATAACGAGCATTGGGTAAATTTCCTAAGGTGCATGGTGAAATCCAGTGCCAAGGTGCATAAGTAGGTGGTCACATAATGC